CTTCATATATTTTGGACCTTTGTTAAGTGCATATATATTTATAAGTAATGTATACATTTATAATTTTTATATTTTCCTGGTGTCATTTCCTTTGTATCGTTATGAAATGTCCCTCTTTGTCTCTAGCAACATTTCTTAAAGTCAGTTTTGTCTGATGATGTTGTGTTTTAGTTTTCCTATGTTTACTCTTTGCATAGTATAGCTTTTTCCATTTTCTTTCAACCTATTATATCTTTGAATCTAAGATACATCTTTTGCAAACTGCATAAAATTAGATATTTTTTATCCAGTTTGACAATCTCTGCATTTTTTTTTTTTTTTGCGGTACGCGGGCCTACTCACTGTTGTGGCCTCTCACTGTTGTGGCCTCTCCCGTTGCGGAGCACAGGCTCTGGACGCGCAGGCTCAGCGGCCATGGCTCACGGGCCTAGCCGCTCCGCGGCATGTGGGATCTTCCCGGACCGGGGCATGAACCCGTGTCCCCTGCATCGGCAGGCGGACTCTCAACCACTGCGCCACCAGGGAAGCCCTGTAGTGGTCTTTTATTTGTTTCACTGCTATATATGCTCCTTCATTGTAGGAATTTACCACAATTGATTTTACCGTTCTGTTGTTAATAGATGTTTGGTTTTTGTTTTGTCTATCACAAAACAGTGCTTTTATGACACATATGTTTCTCTAGACAGTGTTTTTCAAGCTTCAGGTTGCCAACTATTAGTTGTGAAATCATTTTACTGAGTCATGACCAGCACCAAATTTTTTAACTATATAGAATGGAAAAGAAAATATCTGAGTGCTTTACATAAGTATTTTGGTTCATGAATATCACAAGAAGCTCCAGACTCCTTAGTCACCCCGTTTCCTGCACTCTAATCTCCAGAAAGCACTGCACATTCCCTGTTCTGTTTCTTCCCCTCCGTCTTCAGCTTCCTTCCACTTTGTTTTATCATCAGCAAAGTCACCAATATTCTCAACCTCCTCTCTGAACTTTCCCTTTATCTTCTGATACTAATAACAGTTTGGCTTTCCCCTGAGGGCACTGCTTCACCTTGCAAGGGGTGGCTGTGCTTTGTTTTTGTTTTTTAAAAAATATATTTTATTTATTTATTTTGGCTGTGCCAGGTCTTTGTTGTGGCATGCGGGATCATTAGTTGGCGGCATGTGAGCTGGGCACGTGGACTTCTTAGTTGCGGCATGCATGTGGGGTCTAGTTCCCTGACCAGGGATTGAACCTGGGGCCCCTGCATTTGGAGTGTGGAGTCTTAACCACTGTGCCACCAGGGAAGTCCTGCCACTGACCCCTTTATATTGTGATGATTTTTGTTCCTTGCTTAGTGTCATTTTGTCCATTATTACTTTTGTCTTAATTCTTGGTCATTTCAATATACGCATAGATGCTTCCTCTGACACTGCCCACTCAGTTCCCGTAATGGTTTTGTTCTCTTCTCTACCTCAGCCACGTATTTCCATAGTCATACTCTAACCTATGTTTCTTGAACTGTCTGTTGTAAAGGGCCATTATATTTTTATTTACAATCCATCGTTGGTGGATTTTTTGGGTAAAATACAATCAAAATCAGATACTAGGAAATCGAAATGCTCTTTGGTTGTCATGACAATATCAAATTGCTGTAAATTTCTAATCAGTTACTCTTAATTTCTACACTTCCCTCATTGCAGACAGTCATTCAAGGACAGCACTTTGAGTGCTATTTTAGATCTTGTTAGTTACCAGTAACTGCAACCCTTCTGTAATCTCAATTTCATTCACAGTGCTCTTGGACTACCACCTTCTATCTTTCCAGTTCAGTGTATACCCTTACTACACTGGGATGTCCATTCTGTTGGTCCTAGCACATTTTCACTACCCCATACCTTCTTAATGTGATCATTTAAATCATATTCTTGTACACACTTGCTTTTTCTTGCTTTGTTCTAGTTGCTTGGTGAAACTACAGTTCAGGTTAAATCCAGTGTCTACCTCCTCTGCACTTGGACTTATACAGCTGAACTTGAAAGGAGGAGTCACATCCATGTATACCAGTTTCACTTTACATTCATGGCTATAGCCCTTAGAGTGGGCCCTTATTATTGTCTGGAAATCATTTACTGTACTTGCCTAGTTTCTTCACTTTCTCACTATTGTTTCACACCTGGTCCTCTGATCAGCCTCACCACCATCTTACTCATCCTCACTCTTAACTGATGACCTTGCTTTCTACTTTCTTGAGAAACTTGTAGTCAGAAGAAAACTTCTACAGATTCCCATCATGTTTATCTTTGGGCCATGCAAGATTAGAACGACACCTTTTGTTTTGATGATAATTTTTGCGTTAAGGTCTCTTTTGCCTGTTAATCATACAGATAAATCAGCTGGGGGGAGTGGTTATATAATTTTCAGTTATTTTCCTTTAAACCTTTGTATGTCCTTACGTATGGGGGATGGACATTAAACAATGACACAATTACTTAACTACAGTTATGCAAAGTGTCCTGAAGGAAAATAGGTGTGTAATATGTAGATAACAAGGATCTTATTAGTCTGTAAGGTACCCATGCTACCCCCAAGGAAGCAGTGTTTATTCTGATAACCTGCAAAGAGTAGCCAGCAAGAGGTCCGGCACAAAATGAGTGTGAAAGGCCAGAGATCTGAAAAAATTGTTTTTGTGACAGTTTTTGTAGCTAAAGAGAGCTGGGGTGTGAGTGGCCCAAGATGAAACTAGAGATGTGGACAGAGATTTTGAGCAGGGAAGAACAATCACATTTTACCTCAAGTTTCTGTTAATGGTTTCTACATAGTTTAGAAATTGAGTATTGTGAATTCTTTTTCACCCTGTTTAAGTCATTGTATTTAGCAGTTTTATTCTTTGTCAGATTTTCTGTAACGTATGTTAAACCCTTTTCCATTTTTCACAAACTCCCAAACCTGCCTTATTTTTCACCTTGTGTTATGCTTTGCTGACCAAGAAGGAGGTCTGATATGATACAAACTCCCTCCAGATTTTCCCAGTAGCCTAATTTACTCTTATACTTACCACTTCCTTATCTCCTCAGAGCAGGCAGTGTACTGCTTCCTTACCATGGTTTAACTTTTCTTCCTGTCCTCAAATTCTTTTGTGTTAGTTTCTTAATTATTACAGGACTAATAAAACAGTGCATTTTCATTGTCCAGAATTGACAGCCAGGTTTTGAAAATTATTGCATATGATTCTTTTTTTCTCTTTTTCCCTGTGTTGGGTCTTCGTTGCTGTGGCGGGCTTTCTCTAGTTGCGGCTAGTGGGGGCTACTCTTCATTGCGGAGCATGGGTTCTAGTCATGCAGGCTTCAGTAGTTGTGGCAAGCGGGCCCTGGAGTGTGTGGGCTTCAGCAGTTGTGGTGCGTGGGCTCAGTAGTTGTGGTGCATGGACTTTGGGGGGGCCCAGGCTTCAGTAGTTGTGCCTTGTGGGCTCTAGAGCTCAGGCTCAGTAGTTGTGACTCACGGGCTCTAGAGAGCAGGCTCAGTAGTTGTGGCTCATGGGCTTAGTTGCTCCGCGGCCTGTGGGATCTTCCCGGACCAGGGATCGAACCCGTGTCCCCTGCATTGGCAGGCGGATTCTTAACCACTGAGCCACCAGGGAAGCTCCATGAGATTGTTTTTAACTTATAAATGTTTCCAGTGGCCATGAATGTTCTGGTTTTCATGAATGTGTTAAGGAAAATTCATCAGAATGCCTGTTTTATCAGCAGCTGAGAACAGGACCTGAAAAAAACCCCAGATATATAGAACATTTATGTTTATAGTAAGCAAAAAAGTAGGCTTGTCATGTTAGATCAATAAATAACTCCATTTTTCAGATATCTTCTAGTTGCTGTCTACCATATAGTGAACTATCAAGTAACTTGATGGAATGAAGTGACGGAGATGTCTTATTGTGCCTCACTGACATACCATCTAGCTTAATGTTTGTGTCTGTCTGTGACTTACGGCACATGATCATTGCCTTCTTTAACATCAGTTGTTCAGGGTGAGGTATTTACTTGCTTTGCACATTGTTAGCCTCCTCTTAAAAAACCACTAGTTAATGAAGTTTGTACTGTATAGGTCACAACTCTTGTGGTTAAAGATTATGTCCTGTTTGTCTGTGATTAAGTGGAGTTGTAGCACACACAGTGGTGGAAGGATATTAGGTTCTAAAGTTAGCATAGGAGGTGGAGAATGTGTGTGGGGGTTTTCTTTTAACCCCCTTAAGTCATTCATAGAATAGAGAGTTTTAGGTTTTTTGGGTTCACAAAGTAGTTAATCTGTATTTAGTGGCTATTGTTTATGAAACAAAACATATGTTTAAACATTAGACTCATCATATTCAGCATGATGAGAGGTTTGTGGGAACTAGGAAGAACTGAGGAAATAGCAGATTCAGGTTTTTCATCTTAATGCCCCTCTAGAGCAACTCCTGTTGAGAGGAATGACAGCTTTGATGCATGTAATTACTTTTGTTGCCCACTTGCCAAATGCACGTAATTGATGGTTTTTTTTCCCCTTTAACATAAGTGTACATTTGATGTCACTCCACTGTAACTCACTCCCTTGCTTCCTTTCTTTGAGGATTTGAATGTAAAAGTAATCATTCCAGTTCACTTGTTGTAGACCAGTTTTTTTGGAGCATTCCTTTTCATTTAAAGTTTACATACTTGCTAACTATATCAAAGCTTTGAGGATCCTTTTCTTGAACAGTTTAAATAAAGTTTTAAAGTTGAAAATCCTTGTTTGGTTGCTTGCTGGTCTTGCAAGTTCAGTAATAGAAGATTAATATTGTGCCATTTTTAGTAGCTGTGTATGCCAGTATTTTGGTCGTATTAAGTCCTCTGAATTTGACTGTTGTTCAAGCAAATAATAGATACATGTATTTTAAAGGCCTATATGATGGTAACTTTTGCTGCCCACTTAGAAAGGTAGGAATGTTGTGTTGATTAAATAATCTGCCATTTCCGTTTATTGATTTTTGTGTGTTTTTGTACAGGTTGCTTTCCCGTTGCATCTTTGACATAGTTTCCTAGACTCTGCTCCATGATTTAACTTGAAAGTCTGAAATGAAGATGGAGGAGGCAGTGGGAAAAGTTGAAGAACTCATTGAGTCTGAAGTCCCACCAAAAACATCTGAACAAGAGACAGCTAAGGAGGAAGATGGATCTGTAGAACTGGAATCTCAAGTTCCGAAAGATGGTGTGGTGGATTCTACAGTTCTTTCTTCAATGCCCTGCTTGTTGATGGAACTGAGAAGGGACTCTTCTGAGTCTCAGTTGGCATCCACGGAGAGTGACAAGCCGACAACTGGTCGAGTTTATGAGAGTGACTCCTCTAACCACTGCATGCTTTCCCCTTCCTCTAGTGGTCACCTGGCCGATTCAGATACACTGTCTTCTGCAGAGGAGAATGAACCCTCCCAGGCAGAAACAGCGGTAGAAGGAGACCCTTCCGGAGTGTCTGGTGCCACAGTTGGGCGCAAGTCTCGCCGGTCCCGATCTGAAAGTGAAACATCCACCATGGCTGCCAAGAAAAACCGGCAATCCAGTGATAAACAGAATGGCCGAGTCGCCAAGGTTAAAGGTCATCGGAGCCAAAAGCACAAGGAGAGAATCAGGCTACTGAGGCAGAAACGGGAGGCTGCTGCACGAAAGAAATATAACTTGTTGCAGGACAGTAGTACCAGTGATAGTGACCTGACTTGTGACTCAAGCACGAGCTCATCAGATGATGATGAAGAAGTTTCAGGGAGCAGCAAGACAATCACTGCAGAGATACCAGGTAGAGGATGTTTTTTAAACTGACTGTAGAGCACCTGATGGCATTTCTCAGCTCTCAGGCTCAGTTAGATGAGTGACACTTGAAAAAATCCAGGAGACCTGCAGCTCTGTGTAAATTTGAAGACTGCAGTGTATTAACAAGACATGGCCAATTTAAAAACCTGTTCTGAGGTTTCCAGTGCACTTTAGCACAACAGCCAAAAAAAATACTTAATGATAGGGACAGGATTATTTTTAAGTAATGGAATTTCTCACAAGTCTCTTTCTCTGTAACACATTACCTGAATTCCCATCATTGCCTTTCTAGCACTACTTAGATTTAATACTCACTTCAGCATTATTACTAAGTACGTTTTCCTCAGGAATAGGCACCTTGCTTTATTATATAGCCACTGCACTCGAGCTTATGGTGTCTGAAATAACATGTTCTACCTTTCGTTAAAGGTTTCTGATAACTATTCCTCCTAAAACAGTAGTTTTATGTGTCCCCCCCATTCAGTGCATGTTTAGCTAGTTGTCACTTGCATTGAAAGGAATGTTTTTTGCAAAATTTCCCCCTTAACGCCCCAAGTTTAAAAAGTACAGAAAAATCTGCTGTTCCAGCTCTTATTGGTATAAGAGTCTGTAATTTATTACATGTTTGACACATCTGCTTTCTCCATATTACTACGTCTGGTACTGTGTATGTACTACGAAGGCAGTCTTGAGATTTCATAGTGGAAGAAAGGTGAGGTCTGAATGGTTCTTGGGTGAATTCTCATTGAAGAGACTCTTTCGATTAGGAACATTCTGTAAAGTACATGGCATTTAATAGATCATGACAGCATTATTTATTGCTACGTTAAAGGGGGAAGTTTTGGTTTTCAAAGTTTTATGGGTGACTTTTTTCCTCCTAGTTTTCTGAAATGTTTCTGTTTCTATACGTCAGCATATTGCTGCTATACAAAGAATATTTCAAGATAAATCATATTGGTTAATTAAACCTATAGCTAACCAAACTTACAGAAACTCAGTAATAAGAATGATTTTATAGGTGTTCAACTTAAAATAAAAGCATCATCCATATAGTATATTAAGTATGAGTTTTTAACCATTGTTGGAAATGCTTACTGTTTTAATATCTATTGAATTCCTTTGGTAGTTCCTTATGTTAAAATTACTGGGGGAGGGGATTTAATTGAAGCTCATCAGATGACTGCATGAGAGAAGCAAACTTTGGGGTTGTTCTAAGGCAGGTTCTAGGTGTATTTCAGATTTACATTTAATATTTTAAAGAAAGCTATATTAACACCTATACAATTGTTTATGCATTCTTATGTCCTGTTCTAAGCTATTAATCAGGATCATGATGGATCTCTTGATACAGTGCTTACTTAATTCCACTCACTAAATAGATTTTTATGTAACTGCCCAATACTTTGTCTTTTTATGGAAAGGGAGAAGGTGGGTGAACAAAGTGCTCTTTGAAGATAGACCCCATTGAAGAGGTGGCATGAAAAATATCTTCGTGGGCATTCTCCCTATTTGGCTTAAATAGGTTAGGTGTGCTTTGTTCATATTTTCCAAACCTGTTTGCTAATTGACTACCTTGACCAGTGTCTAAAACTTCTAAAACATCAGTCTTCTGTTTCTTGTCTATTCTGAATTGTACACTAACCAAAACACCAAATTATCTGAATCTGTAATTTAGTTTCTGTTGTGCACACCACTTAATAAGTTGGTGGATTTTGAAAACATGAAGAGTTTTCTAAGGTAATCATGGAGAATCAAATGGGAGGTAAGCTGTAGGGCCACTGTATATGACTGCCTAGGCTCTGCACCACAGAGTTACAGAAGGCGCTGTACACATAAGCAGCTGTGAATGGTCTTTCCTGGAATTATGCAAAGCAAAGGTAGAACATCCTAAGTTTAAATATTAGGAAGTTCATTTCAATTATCCACATTGTTACCCCCGAAAAATTTTGACATTTTTCATTGCTGATGTCATAATTATGTATACGTCAGTTTCTTGAATCAGATTATAACTTTGGGGCAGGGGGTATACACTCTACCTTATAGCAAGGCAGTTGTTGAAAAGTTGTATAGATTGTGAAGATAGGATAAATTGTGAACTGACTTATAAGATGAGTGCAACACCATGGACCTTCAGGTGAACTTAAACTGGATGTACCTAACAGCAAATCTCTTGGAATTTGAAATTTGAATCCAGCTGTTTATACAGAATGGAAACCAAGAGGAAAAGTTAAAAACTGAGATTCTTGCTATATGCTTTCATCAAGGTACAACTAATTTAGTAATTCAGAATTGCTGTATTTATAAACTTTTTTTGGCAGCAGCTTAAACATTGAAGGAATTATGCTAAATATTCACTTATGCCAAACAGTTGAACAATTAATGCATTTTCTTTTAAAGAGTGGAAATAATTAATGCTGCAGACTTATATAGTGCATGGTGATGATTAATAATTGAGTTTGATATTTGGACAGTAGATGTTTATGAAGTGGTTTTGTTGTTGTTGCTTTAGTTAACAGTTAACTGACAGGCAGCTTAGTATCCACACTAGATCATTCTTTCCTTGAAGTTTTTGAAACTATATTGCTCTTTTAAGAATCTGGAGGTATCATATCAAGATAATTCTGGCACTTCTTTCATTTGGGGGACTTAGAGATGAGCAAAAATAGAGTATTTTGTAGTGCATATTAATGTGAAAATACTATGTGGTAGTCTTGAGTATTCAAGGCTTTTGTTGAGTGTCTCATTTATAGGTGATATTTTTGTATTATTAATCTTTATACTTTATTATTAGAGCATTATTTCTTCGGGGGTCAGTTTTTCTGTAAAATCACTTTGAGACTAGAGCTGTAAAGTCTGCTCTTGCAGGGATTTTTTTTTTTTTTTTGGCCATGACACACGGCTTGTGGGATCTTGGTTCCCCGACCAGGGATTGAACCTGGGCCCTCAGCAGTGAAAACTCAGAGCCTTAACAATTGGACTGCCAGGGAGTTCCCTGCAGGGAGTTTTGATTTTAGTGAATGTGAATAAGTCTGTGACATCAGACTTCAATTCAAAAATTCTCTGAACAGACCAGCTTACATGCATCATTGTAGGTGGGCAGCAGGGAAGAGTTTTTCCAGTGACCGTTGTTTTTCATAAATATTTAGTATAGAATAAACCTCAGGGTAGCTTCATCTTGTCTTGGCTATAATGACCTGCTTTTGTGTGGTTTAATAGTCCACCATGCAAGTGCCCACTCAGACTGAGGTTCCAAAAATAGTATCCACCTTGGTAGGTAAGGGTCAGTTGTCTTGGCTGTTTTGCATTTTAGAAAATCTAATCGGTCTTTGTTGGAGAATGTCAGGGAGGCTGTTGAGGACACCTGTTTAAGATCATCTGAATCCTCAATCCATGTGGCCAGGCGCAGCTCAGTCCTACTGAAGCTAGGATCTCAGCACTCACTACTCACCCCACACAATTATACAGTGAAATTCCTCATGATAAGCTATCATTTTACCTTACAGTTTTTCTGAGGTAGAGGCTTATTACGCTTGATCAATTAACTCTTACTTGGAAATGAAAAAAATTTCTTTAGTAAATCCTTTGTAGGAAATTTTGAAAATAGAAAAATGTGATGTATAAGATTAAAATCCTGCTTTTGTTAACATTTAAGTATATTGCCTTCCATAATATGTAACAAAATTTATCATACTATGTATACTTCTTTCTTTCCCTCTAACATTGCATTTTGAGCCTTTAACCAAAACACAGAAGTCTCCCTAAAACCACGTATGGATTTTGAATAATTTAGCTAACTATAAAATAACTTCCCTACTCCTGGCCCTTTGGGCTGTTTTTAGTTTTTGCTATTATGAGGAAGGGTATGAACACTTGAAGGCTCTTGACACATACTGCCAAACTACTTTTTAATACTTTATTAAGTTTATTCCATCCAGGAGCTTGAGTATTTGTTGCATTATATTCTTTCTATTGAGTGTTTATAAAAATGTTGCTGGTTTGATGGATGAACTGTATCTTTAATTTGCATTTCTTTGATTACTAATGAAGTTGAAAAATCATATTGGCCATTTGTATTCTTTTGGTAAACAGTCTATTCATGTTCTTTGCACATTTTCCTCTTGCTACACTTTTTTTTTTTAAATTGATTTGTGAGGATTCTCAACCTACTGGGGATTGAATTACTTGAAAAATATTATTATTAATTTAAGCAGTAGCAACTCATGGTAGAAGATAAGACCCCCAAACCCATGTTAGGAATTCCATGACCTTTTTCCTATATTGAATATGAAGTGACTGAAAGCCCCATGTCCCCAATTTAAGCCTCTGTAATCTGATTGTATTTTGGTAGCTATTTAGGAGACTCACTAAATACATTGATAACAAGACACCGAGACTGAGTAATCAGTTGAAGACTGCCTGAAAAGTGATTAGTAAGTGCAAACAAAGCAGGTAATATCTGTGCAGTTTTCAGTCTGGCTATATGTTAGAATCACTTGTTGGGGGTTGGGAGCATTTAAAACTTATGATGCCCAGACCCCACTGCAGACCAATTAAATCAGAATCTCTGGATCTGACCCAGGCATCAGCATTTTTCTCCCAGCTTTTTTGAGATACAGTTGATATATAACATTGTGTAAGTTTAAGTAAGGTATACAACGTGTTGATTTGATAAATGTATATACTGCGAAATGATTAGCACAGTAGGGTTAGTTAACACGCCTCTCACTTCACATAGTTATAATTTGTGTGTTGGGAAGTTTTAAGATCTGCTCTCTTAGCAGCTCTCAAATATACAATACAGTATTGTTAACTATAGCCACCATGCTGTATTACATCCTCAGAACTTACTCATCTTATAACTGGAAGTTTGTCCTATTTAATCACCTTCACTCATCCTTGCTGCACCCCGTACTCTCCACCAAACTACTCTGTTTTTTTGAATTTGTTTTTTTTAAGATTCCACATGCAAGTGAGATCATACAGTAT